TTAATAATATAATTTTTATAATCTTCTATAGTAATAAATTTATTATAATCATAAATATCGTACAATGGTAACTAATATCATTCTTTCTTGATACTGCTATTATTTTTCTATTTTTATCTAAAATAGTTATATAGTTTATTATTATATAATATTATATTATTAAATTATTACTTATATTTAAAAGTTATTTCTACTTTTTTTAATAATTAAAATAGTATTTTATTATATTATATAAAAAATTTTAATAAAAGCATTATATAAATAGCTATATAATTAATTATTTAAAAGTTAATAATTTATTTTAATATACTAAAGTTATTAAAATATATATAAACTTTTATATAATTATTTATATCTTTAATTTTTAAATATTTATTTATTTAATTTTTTATATAATTAATTTTATATAATACTATTATTAAATTTTTATCTTAGTCTATTTTAATATAACTTAAATTTTCTAATTTAATTATTATAAAATTAATTAAATTCTAATAATATATTTTATAATAAATAGAATTTAATTTTTTATATTTAATAAATATTATATACTTTTAACTTTTAATTATTTTAAAAATTATAAAAATAAATATAATTTTTATAATTTAATTAAAAATTTAAATTATATTTTAATATATTATTTATTATATAATAATATTAAAATATAACTAAAAAATATTATATTAATTGATTAAATATATTTTTTTAATTTAAAATTAAATTAAAAGTAAATTTTACAACAAATATTATAATAAAAATAAAATTTATCTTTAAAAATTAAATTTTAAAATTAAAAAAATATAATATTTATTTAATTAAATTAAAATTTAATTATTTTAATAATTTATTTTATAAATATAAATTAAATATATAAATATATAATTATAAATTAAAATAAAATAATATTTAAATAAAATAATATTTAATAAATAAAAATAATAAAAAAATTATATATTTTTTAATTTTATTAAAATTAATAAAAATAAAATAATATTTTTAAAATTTAATATTTTAATTATATTATTAAATATTTATTTTATTTAAGTTTAATATTTATTTTTTAAGTATAATTTATATTTTTATAAAATTAATTAAAAATTTTTTTTAACTTTATATTAAAAGAAAAAATATATTTAATTAATTAATAAATTTTTTTATTTAAGTTATAAAAATTATATTTATTTAAATTTATAATATTATTAATATTATTTTTAAATTATTAAATTTTTATTTTTACTACTTTTATTTATTATTTTATTTTATAATTTTTATAATTTTATTTATTTTTACTAGTTTATATAAAATTAAAAAATATAAATTTATTTTTTATTATATATTTATAAATTATATTTATAAAATAATTAATTATATTTTAAAATTAAATTATAATTTTTATTTATATACTATTTTTATTTATAAATTATATTAATTATTTTATTAATATATTTTATAAATATATAAAATATATAAATAAATAAATAATTTTAATTATTAATAAAATTAAATTAATTATATTATAAATTATTTTTTATATATTTAAAAATATATATATTATATTTTATTATTTTTTATTTTTATAATTAAGTACTATTTTTATTTATTTATTTATTTATATATTTATTTATATTTTTTTAAAGTTATATATATATTCTTTTTTATACTTTTATTTTTATTTAATATTTATAATTTTAAATTTTTTAATTTTTTTTAAAAATTATTTTATAAATAATTATTTAATAAATTTTTAAATTTTTAATTTATTATTTTAATTAATTTATACTATAAAATATAAAAATAATTTAAAAATTTTAAATATTATAAAAAATTTTTAAAATAATAATATATATTTAAATATAAAATATAAAATATATATTTTAAATTATATAAAATTAATTTATAGTTTTAAAATTACTTTTAATATTATTTTTATTTAATATTTATATATATTTTAAAAAATAAAAAATAATTAATATTTTAAAATTATAAAAGATAAAATAAATATAATATTATATAAAATATAATAATATTAACTTTATAGTAAAATTAATTAAATTTAATTAAAGTATAATTTTTATATTTATTAAAAATTAAAAATTAACTATTATTTATTTTTTATATAAGATACAATTTTTATATTAAATATTTTTTTAAAAAAATAATTATTATTTAAATAACTTAATTAACAATATTAATTTCAATAATAATAGTTAATTATTTTTTTAATTTTTAAATTATATAATTTTTAATTAGTTAATTTTTTCAAATTCAATTATTATTTTAATAATATTCATATGAACTTCAATTTTATCAAAGTTGTAGATATTATTTGATAAAATTTTATACTCTTTAATATATTTTATGCAAGTTTGATTATTTATAAATAATCTCAGAATTCTTACATATGATCATTTTTGCATGAAAACTTTAATTTTAATTTTTTTCTTATAATAGTTGATAAAGTTTTATACTTAATTCTGATCAAGAAAAAAAAATTGAATTTTTAGTTGATGAGAAAAGATTAATCATATTTAACAGCTTTAACTCAGAATCACTGTTCTTACTCATTTCAGACTAAAATTCATATAAAAAGAGAGACTCTTCCTCAGTCATACTAAGTTTCCAGGTTTTTGAGAGTGTATTGATATGTCCTGTATGATTCTGCATGCATAGCTGAGACTATTATGAGAAACATTATACCACTTTGCAGCTAATCATATTGTAGAAATTTGATCTCTATTAAATGCTTGAAGATAAAAGAAGTCTTTCGTTCTTGATTAGAAGCTTGATAACTTTGTGTGATTGACATTTTAATTACTTGACTCTGGTCTGTTTGTCCAACTCACTACGTTAGTTAACTAACCCCGGCACAACGATTCCCCGGATGTTTCACATGCAATCCACGAACCAAACCATCGGGTCAAGTGACTTCGGGATTTGGCCTTGAATTTCCTGGTCGATATTTGATATGAAATACTGTTACCTCCAACTGCAAGTTAATTTCTCTTCTTGTTGTACCCTGTCGAACAGAATTGATATTTGCCATTCCTAAGTTATTTTGTCATCTATTTCTTTGCCTTTCACCTCCGGTCGTCTTTTCTTATGGATGATATAAATATTTCCTGTCGCAATGATGCCATGGCATAATTAATAACACCTCGCTTTTCATGTTAACACTTTGTCAAAAACTTATAGAACAAATCTTTTCAGCACAGGCCATCAGTGGGGCCATCTCTTCTCT